AGTAAAATAAATAAAAAATAAACAAAATAAATTGGTAAAATATTAAGCCATAAGTTATCGTACCTCAAAATTTTCTCTATAATCAAAAACCAGGAAGTCAATATAATATGAACCAAAAAAGAGAAATTAAAATTATGAAAACCAAGTAAGTGCAAACTTAAAAAGAATTAACTATCTGAACAAATTTGTGAAAGAATTGTTTCACATCCTTTTTGAGGGTAGTTTGCACATTCTTAAACTAGTATAACTTTATTTAAATAACCTTTTAAAAACATAATTTACATACCACAATATTCTCCCTTGTATACAGTTCAGTGGATTTAGTATATTCATGGAGTTGTGCAACTGTGACTAGTATCTAGTTTTAGAAGACATTTTTTTATCATTTCAAAAGTAAACCTCCAAAATATCAGCAAGAACTCACTAATAACGTACACACATGAGCCCCGTCTCCTCCAAGTACTGAAGCCACTAATATCTGCTTTTTGTCTTTATAGATTTGCCTATCCGTACATTTCATAAAAATGTAATAATACCATCTTTTATGACAGGTTTCTATTTTAATTAATTTTATGATAATTTTTATATAGTTGATTAGGGTACAAAGTGCCAAGGGCTAGAGGAAAGTGGGTGGGACCATTATTTTCTTTCTTTATTTTTCAAGATTTATTTTATTTTTATTGGAAAGGCTGATATACAGAGAGGAGTAGAGTCAGAGAGGAAGATCTTCTGTCCAATAGTTCACTCCCCAAGTGACTGCAATGGCTGGAGCTGAGCTAATCCAAAGCCAAGAGCGGGGAAGTTCATCCAGGTCTCCCACAAGGGCACAGGATACCAAGGCTTTGGGCCATCCATCCTCAACTGCCTTCCCAGGTCATACGCAGGGAGCTGGATGGGAAGCTGGGCTGCTGGGATTAGAATCAACGACAATATGGATCCCAGCACATTCAAGGCGAGGACTTCACCCACTATGCTCTTGCACCGGGCCCAAAACCATTGTTTCCACATTCTCTTTTTCCTTCCTATATCTGGGGAAATAGGGGAGATAAGGAGAAAAACCACACCCAGCCTTCCAACCATCCCAACAGGGGAGCCCTCCACATTTCCCCTACCAGCTTCACCCCATCATCCCTTGGGTCGCATGTGTGTTAGTTGGGTGCTACAGCCCAGTCTTGCATGGCCCAGCTCTCCTCAACATTTGCCAGTGGGTGCTGTAGCCTGGCAGGGCCTGGCCCACCCCTAATCTAACTCTTGTGGGAGCTATAGCCTAGTCCAGCCCAGCCAGTCCCCAGTCCTGACCATCGTGTGAACTGATCTGACCCACACTCCATTCTGGTGCTCAAAATCTCCCGCAGGTAATATGAATTGGCCCAGCCTGGTTCGCTCCTGACATGTGCCAAATGTATGCGATAGGTACTGTCCTGGTCTGGGCTGTTCCCTATCATGGTTCTTGCACTCACCTGCAGGGACTATGTCCTGACAGAGGAGTTTTCCAAGCTCCTCAATCAGAACGTCTCCCAATTCCAGGTCTCTTGCACACCGGTGGGTCCATGTGCCAGCCCTACTTAGTCCACCTCCTATCCTAACAGTGAGAGTGGCCTTTCCTGACCAGCCTTCACCCATTCTGGTTCTTACTATTGGGTGTTACAGCCCAACCAAGCCTGGTCCACATCCAGACACAGCTCACACATGGCTCAGCAAAGGCAGAGACCTGGTTTAGCCCATCCTACACCTACCCTGGTTCTCATGAGCAACAGTGGGTGCTAGAGTCTAGCCCAGTCTGGCACACCCCATATCCAGCCCTCACTTTTGCTGAGCAATACTGCAGCCATGCTCAGATTAGACAGCAGCCCCTACTCTGGCCTTTTCCCCCACCAGTGGGACCAAAAATCCAGCTAGGGTGTCCCTTTGCTCCCCAACTAGGCCTATTCCCAGCCACAGATCTCACATGTGCCAGTGATTGCTTTGACCCAATTTGGCATATCCCCTCACCTGTCTTGGCGTTTACCTTTGGATGCTGTAGCCTGGCCTGGCCAGACCTGCCCCCAATCCCAACTGTCACTGGCAGGTGCTGCAACCTGGCCCTGCTCAGTCTGCACCCATCCCTGGCTTATACAAACCATGTGTGTGACAGCCTAATCCAACATGACCTGAGCTCAAGCTTGGTTTCTGCACTTGCCAGTGAGTTAAAGTTTACCTGGACCACGTGTTCACCAGCAGGAGCTATGACCCACCAGGGAATTTTCCCACGTTCCCCCACTTTGCCCACTCCCAGACCCAGATCTCACATATGCCAGTGAGTGTTACGCCCATGCCCGTCAGAGTCTGTTCCTCCATGTTGGCCTTGTATGAGCTGGTAAGTGTTGCAGCCCAGCTCTCTCCACACCCTGTTTTAGGATGCACAAGTAGGTGCTGCAGCCTGGACCTACCCAAACTATTCATGGTCCCTGTACCCGTGAGTGTTGGCAGATTCCATGGTCCATCACCACCCCAAATCCTGAACTAACCAGTGGAACTTGCATTTCAACAGGATTTAGCCCACATATCCACCATAAAATCTACCCCTAGACCTGGTTCTCTTGCATGCTGGTTAGTGTCATGGCTCTGCCAAATGTGACCCATCCCCTATTCCGATATTCAGTCAGGTATTGGGATGTAGGCCTGGCAGACAGGCCCCCAACCGTAGCTTTTGCATGGAATGGCATGTGGTGGTCAGCAAAGTTCCATGCTAACAAGCCCAACTCCGGATTGCCAAGTGGGCTGGTGCATGAGTCTGATGCATACAGATCTTCCAGTCTCTCCCCTCCAAACCACCAGGTCTTAATCCCCCCACTTCGCTGCAAGTACAGTGGCCCTGTCATTGAATGTCTCTCAGGATTCATTCCTCACCGACACATAGTGTGGCCTTATCCATGGATGTCCCTAGGCAGTAATTCCAGACCCCAAAGACCCCAGAGCTTGCCGACAGATGGCCAGCAGGTGAAGCCCAGCTCCGTTGTCACTCTGGATTCACCCACTACTTGGCAGCAGTGGACGGGGAGCTAGGACCCCCAGCAGGAAGCCTGGCTTGGGACAGATTCCAAGTGTGACTGTGGATACAGACACCCACGCCACTTATTTATTATTAAAGATTCATTTTTTTAAAATTTGTTTTTTTAAAGGCAGAGTTGCAGAGGGATGGGAGAGTAACCAAGATAAAGATCTTCCATCTGCTGGTTCACTCCTCAAATGCATCAAGCTGCAGGGGCACGTGAGGCTAAAACCAGGAGCCAGTAGTTTCATCTTGGTCTCTCACCTGGGTGTAGATGCCAAAGTATTTAGGCTGTCTTCCACTGCTTTGCCAGGTCATTTGCAGGGAATTGGATAAGAAGTACCGCACCTGGGATATGAACCTGCACACATATGGAAGCTGGTATCACAGTGACACCTGCGTTGGCTCCAGTCACTCTAGTTTTAACATTTTGAGAAGCTGCAAAATAAATTCCAAGAAAAGGGGCCTGGCACAATAGCCTAGCAGCTAAAGTCCTCGCATCACATGCACTGGGATCCCATATGAGTGCCGGTTCTAATCCCAGTGGCCATGTTTCCCATCTGACTCTCTGCTTGTGACCTGGGAAATCAATTAAGGATGATCCAAAGTCTTGAGACTCTGCACCTGTGTGACAGGAGACCTGGAAGAGACTGCAGGCTCCTGGCTTTGGATTGGCTCAGTTCCAGTCATTGCAGCTGCTTGGGGAATGAGTCATCAGACAGAAGATCTTCCTCTCTGTACATCTGTCTTTCCAATAAAAAATACATTTTTAAAATAACAATAATAATAATAGTAATAATATAAATTTCCCAAAGTGACTATGGGAATTTCATCATCACTCAGTGAGGGCTCCAATTTCTCCATATTCTTACTTTTATTGATCATCTTTTTGTTTTAGCCATTGTGGAGGATATGTGTGGCATCTCATTGTGTTTTGATTCTTATTTCCTAAATAACTTCTCACATAGTATTATTGGCCATTTGTGTAATATGTTCTTTGCAGAGGGCCCAGTGGCGTGGCCTAGCTGCTAAAGTTCTCACCTTGAACACACTGGGATCACATATGGGTGCCGGTTCTAATCCCTGCAGCACCACTTCCCATCCAGCTCTCTGCTTGTGGCCTGGAAAAGCAGTCCAGGACTGACCAAAGCTTTGGGACCCTGCACCCTCCCAGAAGAAGTTCCTGGATCTTGGCTTTGGATTGGCATAGCACCAGCCATTGCGTCCATTTGGGAAGTGAATCATCAGACGGAAGATATTTCTCTCTGTCTCTCCTCCTCTCTGTATATCTGACTTTCCAATAAAGATTAGTAAATAAATCTTTTTTAAACACTTTTTAAAAGATTAATAAATAAATCTTTTTTTAAACTCCATTTTTTTTGAAAGATTTGTTTTTATTGGAAAGTCAGTTATACAGAGAGGAAAATCTTCCATCCATCGGTTCACTCCCCAAGTGACCACAACGGCCAGTGCTGCGCTGTTCTGAAGCTAGAAGGCAGGAATTTCCTCCAGGTCTCCCACTGGGTGCAGGGTCCCAAAGCTTTGAGCCATCCTCGACTGCTTTCCCAGGCCACAAGCAGGGAGCCAGATGGGAAGAGGGGCTGCCGGGATTAGAACCGGCGCCCATATGGGATCCCAGGCGTGCAAGGCGAGGACCTTAACCACTGCGCCACCGTGCCGGGGCCCAGAACACTAGCTTTTGAAAGCACCTAGCATCAACGATGTTGTGTAATAGCTCCTATATATGTCTACTCCTTTATCCACTCAGACCTGCTCTGAGTTCACCTGAAGCTGTGATGAACAGCTGCAGTGCCTCCTTATCAACTCAAGTACCTGTTGAAAATGCTGCAATTTTTCCATCTACTTGAAGTCAAGGCAACACACACACACACACACACACACACACCCCTTCCATCTGCTGAGTCATTTTTCAAATACCTACAATAGCCAGGGGTAGGCCAGTTTGAAGCCAGAAGCTCTGAACTCCATCTGGATTCCCCCCAAGTAGGAGCAACCCTGAAGCATCATCCACTGACTTGATTCCAGAATGCATTAGCAGGACTTGATCAGGAGCAAAATCCCTGGACACAACCAGCACTCTGGCCTGGAATGTGACTCATGGAAGCCGAGGCCTAAGAGAATGCCTGCCACAAGTATTGTGGTACACACTTTTTTAAAAAGCTAGATGTATTTATTTATTTATTTTTTTTTTTTAAGATTTATTTTTTTTTAAAGATTTATTTTTATTATTTTTTCATTGGAAAGGCAGATATACAGAGAGGAGAGACAGAGAGGAAGATCTTCCGTCCGATGATTCACTCCCCAAGTGAGCGCAACGGGCCGATACTATGCCGATCCGAAGCCAGGAGCCTCTTCCGGGTCTCCCACACGGGTGCAGGTTCCCAAAGCTTTGGGCTGTCCTCGACTGCTTTCCCAGGCCACAGGCAGGGAGCTGGAAGGGAAGTGGGGCTGCCGGGATTAGAACCGGCGCCCATATGGGATCCCGGGCGTGCAAGGCGAGGACCTTTAACCACTTGTGCCACCGCGCCGGGCCCAGATGTATTTATTTTTATTGGAAAGGCAGATATACAGAGAGGAGGAGAGACAGAGAGGAAGTTCCTTTTTTTTTTTTAAGATTTATTTTTATTATTTTTTTGGTTGGAAAGGCAGATATACAGAGAGGAGAGAGAGAGGAAGATCTTCTGTCCGATGATTCACTCCCCAAGTGAGCGCAACGGCCGATGCTGTGCTGATCCGAAGCCAGGAACCAGGAGCCTCTTCCAGGTCTCCCACATGGGTGCAGGGTCCCAAGGCCTTGGGCCATCCTGGACTGCTTTCCCAGGCCACAAGCAGGGAGCTGGATAGGAAGTGGAGCTGCTGGGATTAGAATCAGTGCCCACCTGGGATCCCAGCACATGCAAGGTAAGGACTTTAGTCACTAAGCTACTGTGCTGGGATCCAGAGGTACAGTCTTGATGCTTCCACGTAGGGTTTGCAGCAGAATCGAGTCCTATGGAGCCAGATGTTCAAAAGACATCTTTCCTGACTTTTCTTCTTTCCTTGATTCATTTCTCCACTTCCTGGTTTGGGATCTTCTTGCAAATAAACTAATCGCCCTGAAGTCTTTGTCTCAGGATCTGCTTTCAGGAGAATCCAAAAGAAAGCAAAGCTCAATAGTAATCAGTATCGCATTCCCTAAGATGAACCACACTTCCTTAATTTAGCAAAGGCTTGTGGTAAGGGAAGTACAAGGTGATTCCAGAATATCTTGTTTTACTAGAAAAAAGGAAGCTCTCAAAGACTAATGCCACAAGCACAGGGGGTCAGTTTCAAAATTCCATGAGGAATTCTCCTTGACCAAGTTTGGCATATTCTGAACATCAAAAAGAACAAGGGGATATGACTGTAAAATGCTGAATGGATAAAACTAAACAAGTTCATAATGATATATATATAGTGATGCATGTATCTGTTGGGTAATTCCCAGCAGATGAGAAAAAGCTTTGCATTAGGGAAAAATGTCAGCTAATAAATGTAAAAGGAGTAACAGAATTAAGAAGTCACCATTCCTCTGCCTAAAATAATAATTAATAGGCAAGCATTTGGCACAGCAATTCATATGATGCCTACATGCCATATCGGAGTGCCCAGGTTCTATTGTCAGCTTTACTTCCAATTCCAATTTCCTGCTAATCTGTACCGGGGAGGAAGCAGGTGGTGGCTGTAGTTCTTGGGCCGCTGCCACCCTCATGGGAGACTGAGATTAAGCCTGGCCCAGCCCCAGTTATTGCAGGCCTATGGCGGAATGAGTCAGCAAATGGAAGATCTGTGTGCGCGTGTGTGTGTTTGCCTTTCAAGTAAATAAAAAATTAATAAATTTTTTTTAAATGATTGAGGCAAGGGCCTGGCAATGCCTCCATGGTTATATCCTCCTCCCAACACAAGTGCCAGGATCCTTTATGGACACCAGTTTGTGGCTGCTCCTTTCCCATCCAGCTCCCTGCTTGTGGCCTGAGAAAGCAGTAGAGGATGGTCCAATATCCTGGGACCCTGGACCCACGTGGAAGACCCAGAAGAAGCTCCTGGCTCTTGGCTTCAGATCAGCTCAGCTCCAGCTGTTGTGATCATTTTGGGGAGTGAATCAGATGATGGACGGATGAGCTTTATGTCTTTATCTCCTTCTTCTCTCTGTAAAACTGATCTGCCTTCCAATAAAAATAAACAAAATTTTAAAAGACTTTTTGAGAGCAGGATAATTGTACTACACTAAAACACCTGCAGCTTATTTTGCTGTTACTTAAGAAGGGAGAAACATGTCCTTACAGACAAGAGGATCACCATTACCATGAAATTGAATTTAACGTTTATAGTGGAATAAAATAATATTATTTGCCATATGTTATGGTGTGCTATGGAGTGCTCAGCAAAATTTATTAAGTAAGGGACAAATAATTAAGTTATAATGATGCCGGAGACACCAGCATTCCATGTTGGTGTGCCTGGCTATCTGAATCAGCTCTGCTTGCACTTTCAGTAACATGCTAATAATGTGCACCCTGGGAGCAAAAATAAGTATCAGTCAAGTGCTTGTGTCCTGCCATCCATGTGGGAGACCTGGGTTGAGTTTCCCAATTCTGGCTTTGTTCTGGCGTAGCAGACCCAGGAAGGCAGCAGCTGGTGGCTCGATTAGCTAAATCCCTGTCACCCGCATTGAAATGCTGGAATGAGCTTCTGGCTCCCAGGTTGGGTCCAGCCCCATTTTTGGCCATTCTCAGCATTCAGAGTAAAACAATCAATAAGAGCTGGTACTGACTATCTCTGTGTCTATTTATTTCTCAAGTAAATATTTTTAAATGAAGTTTAATCAATTTAAAGAAACAGGACCCAGTGCAGTAGCCCAGCAGCAAAAGTTTTCGCCTTGAATGCACCAGGATCACATATGGACACTGGTTCTAATCCCAGTGGCCCCACTTCCCATCCAACTCCCCGCTTCTGTTCTGGGAAAGCAGGTGAGGATGGCCCAAAGCCTTGGGACCCTGCACCCATGTGGCAGACCTGGAAGAGGCTCATGGCTCCTGGCTTCAGATCAGTGTAGCTCCGGCTGATGTGGCTGATTGGGGAGTGAATCAGCAGAGGGAAGACCTTCCTCTGTGTCTCTCCTCCTCTCTGTATCTGACTTTGCAATAAAAATAAACAAATGCTTTTTAAAAAACTATCTTAAAATTCAAATACTTCAAAAGCTCATGGGAAAAACATGAATAGGACTTCAGCTTATTTGGTGTCAAAAAATTTTGAAGTCCAGGAATTGATTTTTCCTGACACACATTTTACATGAGCTTTGAGAAGATCCTCCACATTGCCTAGTTTATATCACCTTGTACGGTTTCTGATACATATTTTTAACACAAAAAATAAATATACATATCTTGGAAAGCACTGAAAATATATTACTGATGTCTAGATCAAACAGGTTATCATATACAGTCCCTTGTGCCTAATTTTTTTGGCCCTATTATCAAAAGCCTGTAGGTTTGTCCTTCTATTTAGAGCAGTTATTCTACTCGCAGGCTGTATACAAGTTTAGAATAAAATATTAGAGAATTTTTAGAACATTAGCTGTCTCTAACTCATCCCCAGCCAATTACTCACTTAAGGAATTAAGCCCAGTATTGCTCTCCAAACTTTTAAAACAATTCTAATGGGCGGTCAGAGTAGACAAGTCCTGCCTTTGAAATAAGTAATTATCTTTGGAAAGTACCTAACATTAATAACAACAACAACCAAAAAAAACTGTTGGAAAAACATCCTGTCCAGGATGTGATTCTCTGGCTAAACCCAACTCCTGGAAGCCCTGACTGACCCCTGGAGGAAACACAGTCTAGATCACAAGACATCCAAGGGGCACTCGCCTCTCCTTGTCATCAAAATAAAGCCATCAGGTACAAGGGTGCTTTAGGGACTGGTGTGAGAGCATAGTGGCTAAAGTCCTCACCTTGCATGCCTGGGATCCCATATGGTCGCCAGTTCTCATCCCAGTAGTCCTGCTTCCCATCCAGCTCTCTGCTTGTGGCCTGGGAAAGCAGTCGATGACAGCCCAAAGCCTTGGGACCCTGCACCCATGTTGGAGACCCAGAAGAAGCTCCTGGCTCCTGGCTTCAGGTTGGCTCAGCACCAGCTGTTGTGGTCACTTGGGGAGTGAACCCCATCAGACAGAAGATCTTCCTCTCTGTCTCTCCTCCTCTCTGTATTTCCACCTTTCCAATAAAAACAACTAAATCTTAAAAAAAAAAAAAAGAAAAAGAAAAAAACAAAACAAGGATGCTTCAGAAAGTTCATGGAAAATGGAATTGAAATAGACATTCAGGGCCCGGCGCGATGGCGCAGTGGTTAGGGTCCTCGCCTTGCAGGCACCCGGGATCCCATATGGGTGCCGGTTCTAATCCCGGCAGCCCCGCTTCCCATCCAGCTCCCTGCTTGTGGCCTGGGAAAGCAGTCAAGAACAGCCCAAAGCTTTGGAATCCTGGACACACGTGGGTGACCCAGAAGAGGTTCCTGGCTCCTGGCTTTGGATCGGCATAGCACCGGCCATTGTGCTCACTTGGGGAGTGAATCATCGGACAGAAGATCTTTCTCTCTGTCTGTCCTCCTCTTTGTATATCTGACTTTAAAAAAAAAAGAATAACTTTTTAGAAAAAATTGCCTATTTTTATTGGAAAGTCAAATATACAGAGAGGAGGAGAGTCAGAAGGGAAGATTTCCCATGCACTGATTCATGCCCCAAGTGGCTGCAATGTACAGAGCTGAGCTGATCTGATGCCAGGAGCCAGAGCTCTTCCAGGTCTTCTACATGGGTGCAGGGTCCCAAGGCTTTTAGCTGTCCTCAGCTGCTTTCCCAGGCTACAGGCAGGGAGCTGTATGGGAAGTAGAGCAGCCTGGACCCATGCTAGAGCCTAAATGGGATCCCTGTGCATGTAAGGCAAGGACGTTAGCTGCTAGGCTACCACACCAGGCTCAAGACTAACCTTTTTTAGACTTATTTATTTCAAAGAGTTACAGAGAAATAGGGAAAGGCACAGAAAGAAAGAGAGAGAATCTTCCATTTGCTCGTTCACTCCCCAGGAGCCCATAGTGACCAGGGCTGGGACAGACCCAAGCCAAGTA